GAATCACCTCCGAACAAGCTCCGGCGAGGACGCAGTTCTGTTCCCAGATTCTCTCTTAGTCTCAGATTCCGACGTCGTCGAAACCAACGGAGGAAGAGGATCAACTACATCAACCGAAGATAGAATCGACGAACACGACGATGCGATCGAAGACGACGGGGTCTCAAACGAAGAAGACGAGAATCAGGAAGCAGAGCAAGAGCAAGAGCAAGAAGTAGATCCGAATAATCGGAACAAAGCTTCTTCGTCTTCTGGTTTTTACTTCGATCATGTAAACGGAGTCATTAGAAGAGCTTTCAATAAACGATCGATTTATGAATGGGATTACGATTACACAGGTTTTAGTATCGGATCTGGAATTGGTGGTAGTGATGATAATTCTGGAGAAAAGAGTAAATCTGTGTTTGGATCTGATGATATTCCTTTAGACGAATCGATACGAAGGAAGATCGTTGAGGTTTCGAGTGTTGAAGATGCCTTGTTGTTGAAATTAGGGAAGAGAGTATCACCATTGAGAGAAGGTTGGGGTGATTGGTTTGATAAGAAAGGCGATTTCTTGAGAAGAGATCGAATGTTTAAATCGAATATCGAGACGTTGAATCCGTTGAATAATCCAATGTTGCAAGATCCTGATGGTGTTGGGATTACAGGATTGACTAGAGGTGATAAGGTTGTGCAGAAATGGAGGTTGAGTGAGATTAAGAGGAATCCGTTTATGGCGAAGAAGCCGTTGAGTGTTGCGGAGAAGAAGGAACCAAATGGTGAGGTTAAGAGTGGTGAACGTAAGACATTAGACAACGATAAGAAAGTCGAGAAGAATGTGGAATTTGAGGAGTTTAGAGAACATATGTATGCAGATGGAACTAGATGGGGATATTACCCTGGATTGGAACCGAGTTTGTCATTTTCGGGTTTTATGGATTCGTTTTTCAGAAACGAGAAATGTTCTATGAGAGTTAGGCATCAAAGAGGGCTTGAGAGCTTACTGTCTCAGCATCGAGATGCTTGCGTTGTAGTTTTCTCAGAGACCGTCGAGCTTGATTTCTTCAGAAACAGCTTTTGAAGCTTCAGACACCAAGGGTGGGTTATAAACCGATGAGTTCGGTTTTGAAGCTTTTGGTTGCGGTTTTGGTTGGAGAAAACCGTAGAATTTGCCTATATAAGGAAGGGCACCGTGTATGTTGTTCTTGAAGAGAGAAAATCAGACAGAGACTTGAGAGATTTGAGAGAGAAAGTGAGTTCGAGGGTTTTGGAGGAAGAATATGTCCGGTTTTGGAAGGAGAGACGAACGGCTGAGAAGATTAGATCGGATTGGAGTGAAACTTTGTGGGTAAGTTCTCCATTCTTTGATCTTGATGTAGGAGAAAACCGTGTGTCAATCGGTTGTGTATTCTTTGAGTTATGAGTGTTTTACTCAGAGTGTTTTGTGTAGCTCGTTGCTACGATCAGTCCACTTCGGGGGAGGGTTTCCGTCGAACCAGTGGGAATTTACATACTGTTGTGTAGCTCTCTCTGTCTAATTTTTAGAACCTTTTTTCGTCGTGTTTCGGATGGGTTTTGGTGCTGGAATCGTTCTGATTACAGGTGAGTGCGTGACCATGGGTTATCTGGTTAATTGGAGTGATGTAATGCGTTTGATTGATGATTGGATTGAATTGGCAGTTGTGTACTGCTTGTTGTGGGTGTTTTTCGTGCCTTGATGATGTTTCTAGTACAGAGGATCGGTATTTGTGGTCCAAGAGACAAACCTTTGGCGTTAAGGCTCGTGT